GTTTGAAGCTTTGTAAGATCCCAAAAGACGCAGGAATAAGTAGCAGGATTTAAGAGTGTAATAACGGACTGAAACAGAAGATGGCAGCACTGCATGTACAAGGATGCCAGCTGCCGTTAAACCCTGAAGAAGAAGCTGTGTCCAGTATCGTAGCTGCTCCTCTCCTGTGCCCTGTCCTGTTCTTTCTGGGTCATAAACTTTTCAGATATTTTCAGATCTCTTCAAATATCTGCTCAGTTTATCAAGACACCACATATTTTCAAAAGCGCTCCGACGTTTTCGGAGACGTCTGTTACCCACTAGCTCGATAGCTAGATGGGGGCTAGGCTCACTAGATCCGGTGAGAACACCGGACTCCCGGCAAATCGTTTTCAAACCCACCGCCGTCTTTCGCTACTCAGGTTAAACATGACATATGAGTCACTTAGATAACTTAAACATGTTATTGTTTGGCTTTGTTCCGTATTTTATTTGTTCCTGAGTAAATCGGTTTGGCTGAGATTAAAGTTATAGTTTCTACACAGCTGAATAAACGTCAAGCAGACAGCTGATTTGTGTGAGCTGCTCGATAATTTACTCCGGTGTCCAATTATATTTTAGATAGCAAGGAGCAGACAGCTGAGTTTATTAATCTCCACTGAAATAATCTGAAAATTTCATTAAAATTTAATAAACTATGATCTTGTCTTTATTTTTAGTTAGCACCTTAAATACTTAAAGCTGTAAGCTAATGATAGTTATATAAGAGCAGATGCTGCTGGTGCAATAAGCTGTACAATGGATGATGATCTGATTAGTCGACTAATCGCAAAATTAATCGGTGACTAGTCGACTATAATCGTTTGTGGCAGCTCTACCTGACAGCCAGATATCTATAATCAAAAAGCATCTTAGTTCTCTTGGCTCAGAGATACCTGAGGCTCACCCGAGCCTCAGGTATCTCGGTGTTGTTTTTGATTCTGCCATGTCTCTAGAGCAACACTCTCGACAGTTAATTAGGAACTGCCTTTTTCAGCTGAGAAATATCTCCAAACTGCGAATGTTTTTGTTTAAATCTGAGTTAGAAATGATTATTCATACTTTTATTTCTTCTTGCTTAGATTATTGTAACAGTCTTTTTCTTTGTTTGAGCAAAAAGAACCCTAACCATCTCCAGTCAGTCCAGAATGCTGCAGCAAAGCTTTTAACAAAGACATGAAAAAGAGAGCACATTGCACCAGTTTTACGCTCATTACACTGGCTTCCAGTACATTTTAGAATTCATTTTAAAATCTTAGTACTGACTTTTAAAGCTTCGAATCATGACGCTCCTCTCTTTATTTCTAATCTCTTAGAAGCTCACGCTCCCTCTCGCAGCCCGAGATCATCTAATCAAAGGCTGCTGGTAGTTCCCCGAACACGTTTTAAAACCAGAGGTTTTAGAGCGGTGGCCCCCAGGTTGCTCTCCCTCCATCTCTATGTTGCCTGGATTGTATTTATTTTTTTTAAACATCATCCTACGACTCATTTATTTAGACTGGCTTTTAATTAGATTTGTGCTGTATGTTTGATTGTACTGTTTATTGTGAAGCACTTTGTTGTTTTTATCCTGTGAAGAGTGCTGTATAAATCAATAAAGTAAAGTACAGTAATTACCTCATGGTCTGATGGGTCAATGACTGGACACAACCAGGGAACATCAGCCAGGCGGGGGAGCTGCTGAGCCACAGAACTCAGAGCTGCATTCAGTTGTTCCTGCTGAGGAGGATCCAGCTGCTGCACAGACAGACACACAATGTTAGGACTGTACCATGAGGACCAGGCTTTGTTTTTTTGGTGTGGTTACCCATGAACAATCAGAGTAAAACATGGCAGGAACCCGTCAACCTGCATTGTGTAACAGATAAAGATAGAGCCTAAGATAAAGATAGAGCCTAACATTCTGGGATAAAGTAAAGGACCAAAGCAGTTACCATGGACATCTTTCCAGACAGGAGAAGTTCAGTCTCACTGACCAAAGCTTTGATGTTGCTGACCATCTGAATGACCACGCTGCAGCTCAGAGCCTGTAGACAAACAGTGATACTTTACACAGCTGAAGGCTCAAGGACTTACGTGAACGATAGAAAAGGTAAGAGCAGCTGTCGTACCCTGGAGCTCTTGGAGTCGGCGTAGACTACGTCCATGGCCTTTGAACTGGCGTTGACAGCGTGAGCCAGTTCCTGTTCCATGCTCTGGTGAGACTGAGCGACCTCACGGATGCTGAAACGCCACAAACACATTCAGGTACTCACAACAAGAGCACAGAGGTCGACCCTAAGGCCTTTGTTCTTCCACAGAATCAGACCAAATCCATCTGTTTATTGAGCTGCGGTAGGACGACAGGTCCTACCAAAGGATTCAAACCAGTTCCTGCTGTGAGGCGACGGTTCTAACCACTGTGACACCGCCATGCCATGTTATCAAAAGTAAAAACATTTGTTCAGGGAGCAGGTGGGAACACTGGGTGGGTCTCACCTGTGGATGAGCACTCCAGCTGCCTGACCGAACTCGCTTATGAGTGTCGCCTCTTCCTCGGAGACGATCTCAGGCTGGGAGGACAGTGGTGGCTGAGGCGGCGCCCGGGGAAACTCGCACTTCTGTTTGTCCTCCCAGGACTTCAGGGTGCTCTCAAATGCCTGAAACACAGACACAAGCTGAAAACCTCCGCCGGGCCGGATCGAAACTCCCAGAACAACCCAGAGCTGCTTCACTTACTCGGTCTCGGGTCAGGGTCTGGGTCCGGTTCTTATGGATGATCTTTATGTACCCCGGAGGCTGGATCCACGCTTCCCCGTCCACCTGAACCGGGACACCCTCGTCGCCCAGGATTGTGATCTTCACTGTCCGACACTGAGAGGGAGGGGGTGACAGTTACAGACAGATAGGCGGGTGGATTGGACAGGTAGGTGGGTGGGTGGGTACCTGAGCGATGCGGTGGTGCTGCAAGTTGATGACTCGGGACACGGCCATCTGCATGCTGCCAAAAACGGCCACCACCTCCAGGATCTTATCATCGAAGGACGGAGCTGTGAAGGTCTGACAGAAACACATAGGCCGAGTCATGACAGCACCGCTCAACTACTAGTAACCACCAGAGAACTTCCTGTTCCACAGGGGGCGCTCACAATGACTGCAGCTACGCAAACGCCAACCTTCACATGAGACGTTCAGTACTACAGTAATGTATTACTTCATTTCAGCATCAACATGTTCACATGAGTACAGACAGGTGGAGGAGGTGGAGGTCTTACATCGTCCTCTTTGGTTCCTCCCCAGAAGTTGGTCCCACCTGCGTAGCTCGGGATGTTCAGGACAGCGATTCCCTGCAGACTGGGCAGAGGGATTGGCCGACCATCACACTGAAACACACAGTGTCACGCGTGTTACCAGCTAATCTCTTTAATCACTGCAGGAACACGGTAAGAAGTGGAGTGACAGGTCAGGTGGTTTACAGAGCAGGTGTGTCTCCGCTCTCAGGACCTAAGAGGAAGCAGGAAGTTGTCGTTTTCCTGGTCGTGCCCCTCCCCGTCGGCTGCAGGTTGTTTGGACTACGTCCATTTATAAAAAATACTGTGAAGAAAACTGAACTCGGCCTTAAAGACCCTGAAGACATTCATGATGTCATGAAGGTCAGAGTGAGTTTACTGAGGAGGCAGCAGAGCGTGAGGGATTTCCTGGTTCTGCTCTCACCTCCAGAAGGACTCTCTGCTCGAGGTTCTTGTAGGTTCTGTGCAGCAGCTCCTTGGTTCCTAGGACTCCATACCACATCATGTTCTTGGTGCGACTCCTGCAGATCAGGACACATCTGAGTCAGTTAGCGCTCTTGGAGCTCGCCACGCCGCCGTCACCGTGCCCACTCCTACCTGCACTTCTCTGGATGTTCGTCTCGCTTGTTGTTGAAGTCCAGAGAGATTTTGGCGTCTAGTCCGATGCCAAAGTAGTTGTTCATGACACACTTCTCAGTGTAGCAGTCCCTGACACACACACACACACAACAGGGTTAATGAGAGCACGCGGCGAGGACCTTATGACGCAGTCACGGAGCCTCACATGTTGTCGGGGTCGCAGCTGAACGGGTCGGCGTTGACCAACAATCGGCTGATGACGGAGCTGTTGGACAGCGAGCCTGCAACACACACACACACAC